TATCTAATTTATTTCAAATTTAAAATTATGTTTGGCCGTAATTTTAAAGATTGATAAAAGTTATATTTTGAATTTCAACTCAAAAAGAAACATTTATAAATATATTTGATTATATATAAATTTTTACTTAGATTCATTATAAGATTTGGATTTAATCAAAAGCTAAAATTTTTAATATGTAAATTATGACTTATATCACATTTTTTTATTTTTTTAATCACTTTGAAAATAACATATTTTGTAAAAAAGAAGAAGAAATAAAGAACACGAAAATTGTTAATAATAATTTATTGTCCTTTCACCTGTGGCTCCTGGGTCAACCCTTTTTAATCCAACGTGTCACATTCCGACTCTTTACATATATCTCACGCAATTTCATGTCTGGTGAGGTTTTAGATGGCGGTGTTGATTGATACAATGGGTTGAGTTTGACTTATAATTGAATCTAATTTAATTTTTTATATATTAAAAAATATTTTTTTTAACTATAATTTTTACTTTAGTGTTTTTAATTTTTTTTATAAATATTACAAATATTTATAAATTGAGCATGTTAATTTTTTTTTATCTTAAACAATTCTAGAAAAAAAAATACTAGGCTGTAACTATATAAAACTCTTAAAATGCATGTATTAGTGATAACATAAAAATTATTACAGTTTTTATATAAAAACAAAACAAAATAAAAATTATATTTAAGCATTTTATAAAAAAGTTAGGATATATATATTATAAAAAAATATAGACTAGCAAAAAAAACTATAAAGTATTTTTGAGTTTGTAATTTATTTAAGAAAATAAAAGTTGAATATGAATTCTTGAAATTTTTATTTGTTTTTAATAGTTTTTTGGTTATCAAATAGAATAAAAATAAAACTGTAAAATGCAATGCTAGTTTATCACATCAAACTTTCAAATAATTAACTATAATTTATGTGAAAATAAACAATATAAAGATGGGAAAGAGATCAAGAGAATGAGATGGATAATAGATATAAAGTACAGAGAAAAAAATTAAAGAGAGAGAATAAAAAATATTACTTACATCAATAATCTAGTTATTTATTTTGGGTTTTATGGATTAAGTTGAATTAATTTTAAACCCTTGGTATTTATTTATTAGATTTTTTAACTCATTATATATATAAATGCAGGTGCAGTGAGAAGATGTCATGCTTACGCGTGCACGGAGTTTGTCACCCTCCCTTTCCTTAAGGTTCATTGGTGTTTTTACACTCGTGACCCACGTTAATTTACATGGAGAAAGGGGTGTAGATGTAAATAAAGAAGAAGAAAAAACTACAAGCCTGGTCTAGAAACACCTAGCCATTTAACCCGCGCTGAAACTTCATCGCCGGTTGTTTTCAAAAAAAAAAAAAACTGGATGTACATACTTCTTCAATGTATTTTTTATATAAACCCATAAAAACTGATGTAAAATTATTAGATGAGAGTTTTTAATAAATTAAATATTAAAAGATAAAATTAAAAAAATAATTACATAAAAAGATTTTTAAAAAATTGAGGATGAAAAAAATACTAATTAGAGGACAAATAAAAATTTTTAGTTTGAAGGTTAAATTAAGTTGAAAATTAACTTTAATAAAAAAATCCAAATAATGAGAGCTAAACTGGAAAAAAATTAAATAAAAAAAATCAAACCATGAAATTTACAAAAAAGCTAAGGAAGTTTTTTAAAAAATAAAAAACAACACATTTAAAAAATTGTAATTAAATGATTAAATTGAAAAAAAATCTATAAAAGGAACAAGAAGAACATAAAACATTAAAAATACAAAAAATGAAATTAAAAACACAATAAATGATAAATTGTAATTGAATAACTAAATTAATAAACTAATAACTTCTTTTAAGAGAATAGGAATGAAATAAAAAATTAAAAGAATGATGATTAAAACTATAAAAGATATAAAAATGGAATTTAAAAATAAAAAAATAAAAATAAAGCATTTAAAAAGACGCAATAACAAAATAAAAAAAAACTTTCATAAGAGAAATCATAACACAATAAAAAAATTCAAAGAATGAGCATTGAAATCGACACAAAAACAAACAAGGAGAATAACAATGCTTTTTAGTGTTCAGGGAAGAAAAAATAAATAAAAATAAAAACAACCATTGATTACAATACAATTACCTTCAATTACCACACGCCAGTTCTAAATGGAAAGGAGACAGTGGAGTATCCAAGGAGATAGCACAAAGCCAGTTTTAACCACTGGGTGGTGTCAGATACGTTGTCTGCATGACACGTAATATACTCGCCTACAGTTTTTCTTATTTGACAGTTAATAAATAATGTAAAAATATTAAAATATCCTGGATGACTTTGACAATTACATAAAATACCCATGTTCATAGTGCAAAAATACCCCAACACACAAAGTTATTCTTTTTTCTCGTCCAGGGTTAATTTTGTATTTACACTGTACAATAACAATAAAAAACCAAAAAACCCCTTGTCCAGTCGGTCGTGATTTTTTGATCTGGGGGGCGGGCAAAGAAATAGTTTCACTGTTTGGAGGTTTGGGAAAACCATCGACCACTTGCTTCAAATATCGGTGATTTTAGAGATACGTGAAAATACTATCCTACCCTTAAGCCGAGCCTTACAAAAAAGAAAAAAAAAGAAAGATAAAATGATTATTTTAACAGATTTTATTGTGGATTGAAATACCGTGAATGACCCGTGGCTTCTAGAGTATTAGTTAATTATTTGAATAACAGCTCTGAATGGTGGGTGGTGTAGCGTTGAGCAGGAAAAGAGGGCGTCGGGTGGGTCCTATACTTGGAATGAGCATGCCTTAACGTTGTTATGTGGGCCTACTCACAGTAAGAAAATCACCTAAGCATCTGATAATGATTACCAAATGTACATGGAGGCCGTTGAGTTATTCGTGGGCTACCATGGGGTGGTGGATCTGAATGTTTCAGGCTTGGAGCACAGTGATTTTTTTTATATATATATTTCAGCACAATAAAACAAATATTTAGAAAAATAATATATTTTAAATAAATATTCTGAGGTGTTGAGAACTGAGCAGAGAAGGTTTATAAGTATGAAAATTAGGATCACACTAATCTCTGATAAATTCATTAAAATTTCACCATGAGCGTATTCTAATACTAGGAGCCTGTTTGGCTCTGGTGCGGCTGCATTTTATTTAAAATATAGTTGGAGTTGCTTGGTAAAAAAATTAAAAATATATTATTTATTAGATTTTATTTTTATTTTGTACTGAAAATACAATATTTAAAAAGTAAGTATTCTATATTTTTTTATATTGTTCATGTTAATTATATTGATCAATAAACCATGTAATTAATATGAATAGTACATAATGATATATTGCTCAAGTGAATTGTCGGTAAGAGAATTGTACTGTTCATTTAAAAATAATAAATAATGTAATTCTTTTGTATTGTTCATTATAATTTTTTTAAAGTGTTAAGTTTTTTAATATTTGTTGTTGAAAAGCTAATTTAGAGTGAATTTTATACATAATAATATTTTATCTAATTTTATTATATATTAAAAAATTATAAAAAAATATAATTTTTATCAAATATATACAATATCAATAATTAAATCAATAATATCATTTTGTCAGGTACCGGTAACAATTATTCTCGTGTTCCTTGTGCATGCTAACTGCGACTTTCCAAGTTACAGATAGTCAGATAGTATCTCGACTTGTTTCTCAGACAAATTTAATTAATTTTTTTTATCTAAAAGTGTGGCAGTCGACTTGATTAATTGTATATTTTTTATATACATTTTTTATTATGTTTTTTTTATATATATATATAACTTTGCTCCAAACCAAAAAACACTCAAATGCATCCAGGTAGTAATGACTAGTCCACTATGGAAAGATTTGTAGCGAATTTATTAAGAGCAGTCACTTTATAAAATATTTATAATTAAAAATATATTACAAAAATAATTTTTAAAAAAATAATTTTAATATTAATATATCAGAAAAATTTTAAAATGTAAAAAATAATTAAAAATAAAAAACAATAGTAAACTTTTAATTTTTTAAATACATTTTTTAAATATAAAAACAAACATGTTGTAAAAAAAAAATGGCTGGGGGTTGGCTAATGAGAGGGATCGAGGGCATTGTCTTGTCATGTTCTGCAGGCACTTCCGGTCAATCTAGCAGGCTCTGTAAGGGGTCACGTCAATAGACATTGTCTTGTCTATTTTTATTTGCTTCCATTTTTTAATTTCATTTATATTTTTCAACATTTTTGTATACGGATATCATTGCAACTCTTCATACCAATTTATTTGGAAAATATGTTAAGAATATGTTCCTCGTTTGAAGGATAGTTGTCTTTTGAATTGCAGATACGGACCCTCGATTTCCCCATCAAACTGAAATTATCATAGGCCAGAATTAGCGGCTCCCGTTTTTTGTACAAGCTCTGGAGACTTCCACACGATGGTATTTTACGTTTCACGTTTTATTTCTTTTATTATTATTTTTTTAGTGTGCAGTTTTATGTGTATTTTCTTGATGTATGTGATGTAATTAATGTATGGTAAAGAAAATGTAATACAATGGAATGAGACGATGCGCTAGATTTCTTTGTTTGGATACGAATATTCGTACTGATATAATGGATACTTTTTACAATGTCTTCTTTCATTCCTTGAAATTTCTCAAAAAAAAATATTTATTTTATAAAAAATATTTGCATGTATATTTATTTTTTTATTATAAAAAAGACAGCTTCTCTTTTATGCATGTTTATTTATTTTTATTATAAAAAAGACAGCTTCTCTTTTTAGTTGTTTATTACAGCTTCATGTATCTTTCAATTTATTTCATTAAATATAAATGTAATTTTATATTTTTAAATAAAAAAACCATATAACAAAAGAAATCCGTAACACCTGCAGCGTCCATCCTTGCTTATAAAAGCGCAATAATTGAGGACTCCCACTCTCATACAAATCCTCACCAATCATGTGCATCTCCTTATCACTCTGCCCTTCCTTAACAAGTGGTTCTCAGTCGTTTACTTTTCACCGTAATCTCCTCTCGTGTAGATCCACACCAAGCAAGAACTACCCTTTCTTGATTCGTTCCCGTCTTTCCATGGATTCAACCACTCCTGAAGTTGCCTACGATTACTCTCCCTTCCTTCGCATTTACAAAGATGGCCACGTAGAGAGACTCAGGGGCACCGACATCGTCCCTTCTGGATTAGACCCCAAAACAAACGTCCTGTCTAAAGATGCAGTCTACTCACCGGAGTTAAATCTCTCTTCTAGACTTTACCGACCACGTAACACCAACCCTGATAAAAAACTCCCAGTCCTAGTTTACTATCATGGCGGTGGCTTTTGCATTGAAACCCCCTTCAATTTTCGTTACCATGATCACCTTAACAATCTAGTTGCGGTGTCTAACGTTATAGCAATCTCTGTTGATTATAGACTGGCCCCGGAGCACCCTCTTCCTATTGCATATGACGATTCATGGACAGCACTTAAATGGGTTGCCTCTCATGTTAATGGAGATGGCCCTGAGGAGTGGCTAAACTCTCATGCTGATTTCGGTCAGGTTTTTCTTGCTGGAGATAGTGCTGGTGCTAACCTAGCACACCAACTTGCTATGAGGTATGGTCAAGAAAAACTGTCTGGTATTGACCTCACAGGTGTTATCTTAGTACATGCATATTTCTGGGGCAAAGAACCTATCGGTACAGAGGGCGAGAATTTGGAAACAAAATCAAGGATCGATGCTATATGGCATTTTGTATGCCCTACATCAAGTGGGTTGGATGACCCTTTGATTAATCCACTTGTTGATCCAAGATTGGATAGCCTGGGGTGCGACAGGCTGCTTGTTATTATTGGCGGGAAGGATGTCTTGAGGGAAAGAGGATGGCACTATTATGAGAGG